GTTCAAGGGTGGCTTACTAGGTCCTGTCCTTCATTCAGCAAGAAGGGTTCGCTCTAAGGAAGTCTGAGAACCTTTCATCCCAAGGACAGCGGGAGTTCAGGGCCAGCACAGGCATTGTGAGGACAGAGAATGGGAGCGGGCTGGTGTTCTGTCTCCTGAGGGCACTCGGTATTTCCACAGCTCCAGTGAGTACCAGGTGCTGGGAAAGGGGATGGGACACTCACACAAGAAAAGGTCAGGTGCTGACATTTAGTTTTCCCATCCATGATTTCCAGGACCCAAAAGTCCCTGCAGGTAGGAGGCATAAAGGGAAAAAGAGGGTGAAATAGCAAAGAAGAATGCTCCCTCCCATCCTGGCCCTTCCCCAGAGTTTCGGGGGTGTAAGAGGGGTAGGGCAGGCACGACAATCACAACGGTGTGGGAAAATAATGAAAATGAATGAGATGTTAAATGTACTGAAGTGAAAAAGAAGTTATAATTTAAAAAGCTTTTAATGATTTATTTTTTAAAAAAATATTTTTATTGATTTCAAAGAAAGGAGGGAGAAATAGAAACATCAATGATGAGAAAGAATCATTGATTTGTTGCCTCCTGCATGCCCCACACTGGGGAACAAGTCCACAACCTGTGCCCTGACCAGGAATCGAACCGTGACTACCTGGCTCATAGGTTGACGTTCAACCATTGAGCTATGCTGACTGGGCAAGATTTTAATGATTTTAGAAATATTGCAAGATGTCTTGGCTTCTAGTGCCTACAAATAAAAGATGAGTTTTTTAAAATTAATTAATTAATTTTTTAAAAATACATATTTTATTGATTTTTACAGAGAGGAAGGGAGAGGGATAGAGAGTTAGAAACATCGATCAGCTGCCTCCTGCACACCCCCTACTGGGGAGGTGCCTGCAACCAAGTTACATGCCCTTGACTGGAATCAAACCTGGGACCCTTCAGTCCTCAGGCCAACACTCTCTCCACTGAGCCAAACAGGTCAGGGCAAAAGATGAGTTTATTTAAATGAAAGACTCATCTGCTTCCCTTTTTGACTTTGGGGCTGAAAACCAAACTTACCCAGAATCATAAATAAAATACTCTCTAGAGAACTCACTTTTCTTGCTCCCAGACCTTTCTGACCCACCTGGGACTCCCGTTAACTTTGGGGCAGCCAATCCCCAACACCGTGCTCTCTCCTACCAGTGAGGGCTTCGGGGACTAACTCAGGGGAAGCCTGCATTGGGGCTGGGGCTGGGCGCAGGCATTTCAAGGCTGAGCAGCGCTGGGAATGGAAGGGTGGGGTTTTCTGGTTTAAACTTAGTGGTTTTGGGAGTTAAGACAAACCTGGTTTTGAATCAGTTCCACTGCATACTGGTGGTGTTGCCTTGGGTAAAGTTACTTCACTGTTATTATTTTTTTCCAATTACAGTTAGCATTCAATATTATCTGTTTCAGGTATAGTGGTTAGACATTTATATAAGTACCCCCCTGACATGATACAGTTGTTAATAATATTATTGACTATATTCCCTGTGCTGGACTTCACATTCCCATGACTATTTTGTTACTGCCAATTTGTACTTCTTAGTCCCTTCACCTTTTCCCTCAATGCACCCCACTCCACCCCCAACCTGGCTGAGCCTGTGTTCTCCTCTGTGAAATAAGAAGACAAACAGTTCCTGCCCCCTATGGATTGATGTGAGAAGTTGCATGAAGAGGTACATGGCTCATTACGGACCATCTATTAATACATCAAAGAAATGCCCTTGACACTTGGCCATCAAATCAAAGGCCCTCTGATGCTCCCCTGCCTCTCGGTGTTTCCTTGCTCTCTGGCACGGTTTCTAAGAAGCAGACCCGGAACGAAAGAGCCCAGGACATGTCAGGAGATCTGGTGAAGGTCAAGGAGAGCGGAGTTGAAACCAACAGATTTCGAAGTCCGTCTCCCTGGGGAGAATGAGCTCAAATCTCAGAATTGTGAGGAAAATCACACGTTAAACCTGAAAGCTGCACTCCTTCTTCATCACAGAGGGAAATATTTGTTAGAGACAGCAGACTGGAGAGAGCACACAAGACCATACTCAAATCCATATAAACCATTTAATTAGAAAAGTCATAAAAACAACAAAAAGGGCAGATTTCCCAATGCAGGGTAGACAAGAAAGCAAAATGGTTTGAAAGGCACCCGTTAATTTAAAATTGTATCAGAAGTCATCAGATGACCTTTTGCGCACAAAGTAAAAAAAAAAAAGGTCCTCTTTGGAATAGCAGCAGCATTTACGGTTTTCATGTCACACTTGGTTATTCCTTTGGGATGTGGCTGTGTAGTCGTGGGAGAGATGTTCCCTGAAAGTTTGGTTGAAACAGGTTCTTTCAGCGTTTCCATGGCAATGCCAGACAAGCCTGAGAAGCTAAGGAAGAAGGCTGTACTGCAGGTCTGGCTTTGGTCAGTGATGCAGAGCTGCACTCGGCTGCAGGCTGGTGACATGTCACACCAAGCAGCATTCTTTTTTATTTCTTTGTTAATCCTCTCCCAAGATTATTTTTTCCATTGATTGTCAGAGAGAGTGGAAGGAGACAGAGAGAAACATCAAGGTGAGAGAGACACATTGACTGCTTGCCTCCCACATGTGCCCAACCTTGGCCAGGGATTGAGCCTGCAACCAAGGTACGTGCCCTGGTAGGAATTCGAACCCGAGACCCTTCTGTCTGCAGGCTGACACTCTATCCACTGAGCCAAACCGGCCAGGGCAAGGAGCATTCTTTTAACGTAGGGCCCATCATCATCTTAAAGACCTGACTGGGTTCTAAAAGAATAGAGCCCAGGACTCTACAGAAATGACCAATACCAAGTTTAACGCAGTGAGCGCAACACTTGTTTTTATAGAAAACATCACGAATGAAGTTCTTTGCGAGTGCCTAAGCCACCTCCGAGCTTCGCAGGCAGGCCTCAGAAGTCCAGCTGGTGCCAGGGGAGTGCTCACTCACATTCACCTCTAAGGAGAGGCTGAAAGAAATTTCCAGTGACAGGCCTGGGGGTCCCTATCCGAGGTTGTCTCACTGTGGCTCCAGGAATCCTGGACATCTCTTTTCAAAAGGCTGTGCTGGCATCCTGTTGGCATGGCTCAGTGGTTGAGCATCAACCTATGAACCAGGAGGTCCGGGTTTGATTCCAGGCTAGGTCTCATCATTGATGTCCTATCTCTACCTTCCTCTCCGAAATCCTATATAATAAAGAGGTAATATGCAAATTGACCCCATACCCTTGCATCACTAGATGGCCACCCCGTCATCACAAGATGGCCACCTTCATGTCGTCACAAGATGGCCACCCCGTAGTCACAGATGGCCAGAAGGGGAGGGCAGTTGCGGGAGGGACCAGGCCTGCAGGGGAGGGCAATTGGGGGTGATTGGGCCAGCAGGGGAGCAGTTAGGTGTCAATCAGGCCAGCAGGGGAGCGGTTAGGGGGTGATCAGGCTGGCAGACAGAAGTGGTTAGAGGCAATCAGGCAGGCAGGAGGGTGAGTGGTTAGGAGCCAGCAGTTTTGGATTGTGAGAGGGATGTCCAACTGCTGGTTTAGGCCTGATCCTAAACCGGCAGTCAGACATCCCCTGAGAGGTCCTGGATTGGAGAGGGTGCAGGCTGGGCTGAAGGACAATCCCCGCCGCCCCAGTGCACAAATTTCATGCACCGGGCCTCTAGTCAATGATAAAAAAAGGTTGTGCTGGGAAATACAGCAACAGCTAGCTGATGTATTCTGGCACCTGAACTCTGGCCAGGTCCCCTGGAGTGTGCATCTTAGAGAATTTCAAAATGGAAATGGAACCTCTGCCTTCCCTTGGCAACCCAAGTCCTTTGTGTGACAGAAGAATGCTATAAAAAAATAATAAAATACTCTCTGATATTTCCCTCTACCCTTGGTATTGCTTTTCATCTTCTCAAAACCCATTCCTCCCAGTGCTGACAAACTGAACCAGAAAATGACACCCGAGGCAGCTGTTGATTGGCCTACACTTGCTTCTTAAGGCAGAGAGAAAAGAAGTCCATCATTGGCTTTTGATTTAAGAAAACCAAGGCCTTTAAGGGGAAAGGCCAGACGTCATATAAACAGAACCAAATCCAGGAGAGCACTGATGAGTGATAAGGGCAAGGCTTCCGTGCCCCCGAGACTAGAAAAAGGCTGTGCAGATGGAAGCCAGTGGCCAGGCCTGCATCCTGCCCTTCTCTTTGGGACCAGTGGGGTGGGGACCTCACTGGAAGCTGGATGTGGGGAGGTGGTTTTATGAACAGAGAGATTGGGGCCTGTCTTCCTGAGCCCCAACCCAGAGTACAAGCAGTGGAGACATGGGGCTGAGTTGAGGAATAGGTTCCCTGTACCCATGCCACCCATGTCATCGAGGACATACAGGTGGTCGAGGGATCCTTAGGTTGGAATGGGACTTGTGGGACGCAGCAGTAATCTGAGAGGACCCATGTCCAAACCAGATGGGTCCGTGGTCACCTTGGCAGAAGTCACTGTGGACTGATGACACTGAGGGCCACTATTTTGACCCCTTGTCACCAACTGGTATCAGAAAATCCCACCTCTCTTCTACCTTCCCGAGACCTTGACCTTCATGGGAAATGTGTGTGCGTGGATTCCCTCCACCACAAGATGGGAGCTAAAAGCAGTTGTTAAGGAATGACCTATTTCTTTGCATACCTGAGTTTGTGGGATAGACTTTCTCTCGCTACATGTGCTTTTAAAGTTGGCTTTCTACGCTGACTTAGCAATGGAGCAGATAAGCACAGGAACAACTTCTGGCCGTGCACTTGCAGGTTCTGTAAGTCACAGAGCTGAAGCTAAAGGCTGGGCCTTACAGTAATCTTAGAGCACTACCCTTTCTCCCACCCTCCCATTTTACAGAAAAGGCAACTGAGGCTCCTCCCACTGCTCACAGCACAGGGTAAAGTAAGCAAAAGGGGGTGGTAGTGGTAGGCACTGTGTTTGAAATGAGGCGAGGATCTGAGTGATGGTGGTGAATATACGTTGTCTGTCAGTCTGGAATCTATACACAGTCAAGCGACGGATCCCACTATCCCCGCAGGACCGCCTTTGGCGTGCCCTCTGTGTAGGCCCAGCAGGCCAGCTTTGCTTCATTCCTGACCGCCCGTCAGCTTGTGGAACAGGTCCTCGTCCAGGGTTTCATTCTGGCCCTTGGAGCGGGTGGACAAGAAAATGTAGCCACCGATGTATTCGTGCACCACCTTGCAATCTGCACTCAGGCAGGAGAACGCAATGGAGACATTCTGGTCAAACTCGATCGCCACCTGGAAGAGGAAGCACAGGAAAACTTAACCTCTGACACGGACAGATGGGAAAGAAGCTGCTTTGCTGGAGATGGGCCCAGAGCTGAGGACTCCCGAGATAGCTGACGGATGGATCTCTCCCCAAATCCCACAAAAAAACCCTACCACTTGCTCTTACAGAAAACATCTTTGCTCTCTGCGCCCTCTTGTGGTGTCAACTTTGGCAAAACACTATTTTTATTTTTTTTAAATATTTTTATTTATTTCAGAGAGGAAAGGAGAGGGAGAGAGAGATAGAAACATCAACGATGAGAGAGAATCATTGATGGGCTGCCTCTTGCACAACCCCCATACTGGGGATTAAGCCCACAACCTGAGCATGTGCCCTTAACTGGAATTGAACCCGGGACCCTCAGTCCGCAGGCCGATGCTCTATCCACTGAGCAAAACCAGCTAGGGCGCAAAACACTCTTCACTCCCAACACACACACATACTTTGTGTGTGTCTCTTGTTTAGATGTAGGACTTTTTAAGCACTCCCGGTGTCAAAGGGAAGGTATATTACAGACTTTTTAATGGAGAGTAAAAGGTCCACCTGAAATTTCCTCCAGCCCCTGGCCCTCACCCCTTCCCAGCTGAGAGTCATAAACTCTCAGCACTAGAAGAAACATGAAGGGTTCTCAACCGTGGAGGCCCATTGCAATCACCTGAGGCCCTTTAAAAATTATTGATGCCCAGCTAGTGCCCTAGACATGCAGCTTTAATTGGTCTTGGGAGTGGCCTGGGCAGTGGTATTTGGCCTGGACAGTGGTATTTTAAAACTCCCAGGCAATCCTAATATGCAACACAATTTTAGAACCACTCCCTTGGAAGTCATCTAATCTCAGACCTTCATTCTAAAAAATGAGCGCCCACATGGTTAACAACTCTGCTGACAGGAATCTATAGTTCTTAAAAAAAAAAAAAGTGTGAGTTTCCGGGTAGCTCAGTTGGTTAGAGCATCATCCTGATACGACAAGGTTGTGGGTTTGGCCTCCGGTCAGGGCACATACAAGAAGCAACCAGTGAATGCATAAATAACAAATTGATCTCTCTCTGTCTCCTTCTCTCCTTAATAAAAAAAAAGTATGAGTCTCTTACCATGCCTCTACATTGAATGTTTTCTGCTGGAAAAATGAGGAAAGGAGGGAAGAGAGATCCTATACCAGCAGGATGCTAAGGTGCTCTAACTTCACCTAGAATTTCCCATGATATAGCCTTGGCTGGAACTTAGTCCCTGAGGTGTGGACGATGGGGTGCTGAGAGCTGGAGAATTCCTAAACTTGCTTCTCTAGCATTTTTCCCCTTTGGGGCCCCCCGGAATGCTCTCCAGGTGGGCAATGGAGCCTCAGAGCCCTCCACCAGTTAGACATTTTGGCAGCCAGTCCAATTTTTGGATTTATTTTGGGTGACAGTTACAGCTCATGTAGTTTCTGCTAAGTCTTATATAATCCCATGGTGAGGTGAAGGAAATGAATCAAACTGCTCAGCAATTTTAGAATCTGTATGGAGACTAAGCCAACTAGTGGGGTAATTCAAAGGCATTTTTGATCTGTTCTGGTTAGGAAGCTGCCCAGAATTGCCTGTGGTTATTTGAGCAGACAATGGCCACATGCTCGTGGTTTCTGAGTTCTAAATATAAGAACAGCTTTTAAAATCAGAATAATCTGCAATTTTGAGGGCACACATTTATAGGCTCAACACCAAATATACCCGAAGCTTTCACTTTACCTGCCGGATTTCCCAGTTTACATTCCACTGTTTCATGTTGGCGAATCTCCATGTTGTAATTGGAACCCCAGTGGCTGCATCGATTCTAATCAGCCTATTATACGAAACTCCCAGAATGTCATCTTTCTTGCTTCCTTTAAATCTGAAAAAGATAATTAAAAGAAGTAACTTCTTGTAATATGCTGTTTATTCACATACGACTTCTTAAAGATAAATAATAGCAACATTTCTAAATCATCTATGAAAAATGGACAACGAAGGATTATCTTTCTATAGAAGGGCATTTTTATTGTGATCTAGAGAATATGACAATAGAGAGAATTAAGACTGTCCCAAAGGCATTCTTTTATTTTATTTTATTTTTTTAATTGATTTTTTACAGAGAGGAAGGGAGAGAGATAGAGAGTTAGAAACATCGGTCGGTGAGAGAGAAACATCGACTAGCTGCCTCCTGCACATCTCCCATTGGGAGATGTGCCCGCAACCCAGGTACATGCCCTTGACCGGAATCGAACCTAGGAC